AGCTGAAGTTACTCGACTCTCTCCGCATACAAGCTGGTGGGAACCTATCCTACCAGAAGATATGATTGGATTTTCTCTTCGAAAACGAGCTTCAAAGGATTCTTTTTTCAATAGAGAAACTCCAAGGAAATATTTTTCAATATGCGAGCTTCAAGAGAGCCTATTTCAATAGGCGAGCTTCCAGGCAGCCCATTCCAATAGGCCTATTTCCACAGGCGAGCTTTAAGGGAGCCTATGTTCAATAGGCGAGCTTCAAGGGAGCCTATGTTCAATAGGCGAGCTTCGAGGGAGCCTATTGTCAATAGGCGAGCTTCAAGGGAGCCTATTTCCATAGATGAGGTTCAAGGGAGCCTATTTCCATAGATGAGGTTCAAGGGAGCATATTTTCGAGGTAAGAATGGAGTTTCGTTTAGGCGAGCTTCAAGGGAGCCTATTGTCAACAGGCGAGCTTCAAGGGAGCCTATTGTCAATAGACCAGCTTCAAGTGAGCCTATTGTCAATAGACGAGCTACAAGGGAGCCTATTGTCAATAGGCGAGCTTCAAGGGAGCATATTTCCATAGATGAGGTTCAAGGGATCCTATTGTCAATAGGCGAGCTTCAAGGGAGCCTATTTCCATAGATGAGGTTCACGGGAGCCTATTTTCGAGGTAAGAATGGCGTTTTTTTTAAGTGATGAGACACAGAAGAGACCTGAAGGGAGTCTCTTTGCATAGACGCGCTGAAATGGCTCTTATTCTCATTCTCGCTCTCTCTCTATCTCTTCATTGACGAACTTGTGAGAGAAATGCTGTAGGTAGTCTTTTTTTCCTATGCTAAATGAAATCTATTTATTTTTCTAGAAGTTCTGAAAATCTTTCTCTTTTCATAAACCAGTTAAGGACCTCTCTCTTTCTCTCTCTCTCTCTCTCTCTCTCTCTGATAGACGAGCTGAAGGAAGTATCTTTATTTTCATACACGAACCGAAGAAAGTCTTTCCTACAGATATTCCTAGACTGAATGCACACTCTCGTTTCTTTTGCGACCTATAGAAACTCTTTCTCTCTTTTCATAGGTGAGCTGCAGTTTCTCTCTTTTCATTGGAGCCTTGAAAGGTGTATCTCTCTCTTTACATAAACGAGCTAAATGGATTCTCCTCTCGTAGACGAAAACTTAAGTGAGTGTCGTTCCTCCTTTAGCCGGCTGAAGGCAGTCTCTTTCCATTTTTAAACAAACGGTAGCCTCTCCAAAACTTTTTAATGGAAACCAAGCTATTCAATTTATTTTCTAAAAATTCCAGTACTCTATTTCTCCATCTGCATAATAGTCCTCACTACGTTTTGACGTCTTTTCATCGCAAATAATGATGTTAGTGGTGGTGGCAATAATGATGACGATGATGAAATAACGTTATGTGTATGATGTATGTGTGTTTGTACGTATGTTGCGGATGTTGTGCCACCATAGACTGTGTACACGTAATTAGTTTGTAGCGTATACAGAATTTTGTGGCATGTTGGTCGGTATGCTTTTGTTCTTCTTCGTCTTCTGCCGCCACTGATGGCAGCCAACAACAGCAGCAGCACAAGCAATAATGATGGCATTGGTGATGCTGTTGCAACAACTTCATCCAACATATATGTACAGACAACTCCTGTTCGAGTTTGGAAAACAAACAATTAGCAGAGTTGTTATAATTGCCATGCCATACAGTTGTAAGAGTAAACTATGCCGACAGGCAACCCAACTGAAAGGCAACACACAAACATGAATGGGTATGTATGTGCGCACATTTGTTTGCTGATTGGTAACATTTATTGCAACACTTTCCCCCAGAAAACGAAAATATCCTGCAGTCCTAATACTGCCAAATAATTTTATATTTGCTTTCTTTTGAAATGCTGTGGTGTCTTTGGCAACAATTTGTAGGGCATAATTACGGCAAAATTTGTATAAGAAAAATATTACGACATTGCTTCAAAGGAAATAATAGCCATTCGAAATGAAAAAGGAAGAAGAGAATAATTATGCCAATTGCGGTAAAAAAATAATAAATGAATAAATGTTGATATTCTCAAAAACAGCCAAAGGGTATGATACAAATGAAAATATTTTAATTGCGAAATTAATTATGGCAATCGGCGCGAATATGAAAAAGCATTAAGTTATAATATTTCATTTTTATATACGACATAAAAAATATGTTCAAAGATTTCGAGATTATAATTAATTAATATAAAATTTAAAACAACAACAAAATGAAGAAAAAAAAGAGTATGCAAGTGTGGTTGTAAAATTTAATTCTTTGGTTACTCCTCTACTAAGATTATGATCTCGTCACTTGGTTAAAAAATTTTTTTTTTGTCAAATGAGTTATTTTTTAAAATAAGTCCTAAGGAGAATATCCCAGACGAAAAACAAGAGATATTGGTGGCTTGTTGTTTCTATAAAAATAACAAAAATGGAATTGTGCCCACTTAACACAATTTTGTGACCATACATTACGAATCGCCACCTTTACTCGTTTCTCGCTAAAATTTTAAAAATAAATATAACTTTTGTAATTTATGAAATCTGCAGGATGTGCTGATTTGTTCTCACCTAGCACAAATTTTTCGCCATACATTGGAAATATACATATCTAATAGTTACTCGTTAAAATCAATATCGCATATAGGGTGAGACGAAAAAACTGCAACCAACTTCAGACTGCTGTCATTTCTAAGCCACTCTTCCGACAGCTTCCAGTGACAGCTCACATTCCAGTGACAGCTCACTATATTGTTTACAAGCGTACAAAAGCATTTTGGTGGGAATTTTGCGGAAAAAAGTTATTCGTGATGGAATTCAAGCATGATAGTGTAATTTCTTTATATTTGGCTGGAAAACCACAAGTGGCTATCACTAGAGCACTCCAGCATTTAAATGTGAAAAAATCTTTTGTGACTCGTACCACACTCGTTACCGTGATACTGGTAGCGTAGCCCAGTGACGTTAAGGAAGTGGACGGAAGAAAACAGCAACATCAGCAAAAACAGTTCGAAAATTAAAGAAGCGGCTTTATCGAAACCCGCGTCACAGCTTGGCTTGTGATCTGTACATATCGCAATATTCCATTCGGCAAATATTGAAAAATGAGCTCGGGGTAAAGCCATTGAAATTCCAAAAAGTACAAGAACTTACACCGCATCAGAAAGAAAATAGACTCTAAAGAGCTAAAGAGTTGCTTCGCTTGGCCGAAAGTGGTGAACTGCCGAATTTGTCCAGCAGTTTGTAAACAAATAAAATGATCGTGTTTACTTGCCAAAGAGGTGCACCTTGGGTTGGCCACCAAAACTCAAGCGTCGGCCATGGCGGTGGTGTGGTGTGGGCCGTCATAATGGTCGCCGATGGTCGCTTTACGCTCGTATTAATCGACCGTGGCATCAGAATAAATGCCGAATATTATTGCGAAAATATTCTGGAGGGTGTGTTAAAGCCTTGAGCACGCAAACATTTGACTTTGTTGCAATTCTTTATCTCAACCTGTATATTTTTTTTAAAATAATCCACGTTTTTTTTTCTAAAGAGCTTGGAAAAAAAATCCAAGATTTTTGTTCAGAACTTGGAAAATTTTTTGAAAAATTCACGGTTTGTTCCGATGTTGGACAAATATTTGTTAAAAATATCAAATTTCAATTTAAGCCTTAGTAAATTATTTTTGAACATTCACGCTTTGTATCCAGAACGTAGATAATATTTTTTAAAAAATCCACATTTTTAGTTCACACCCTAAAAACAATATTTTTAAAATCCATTGATTCAGCCCAGATCTTGAAACATATGTCCACGACGTCTAGATCTTATCAATTAAAAACAAGAGGAAAAGATGTAAGTTCGGCCGGGCCGAACGTTGAATACCCTCCACCATTTGGAACGAATTTGGCAATTCTCAAAAACAATAAAATCCGTTAAAAATTCTGTTAAAATCTTAAAAATACCGATTGTAGCTGTTATTTTAGGGTCTATACGACCACATGGACCTGCATAGGTAACTTTTGACATAAGCTATAACAATATTCAAATGCGAAACTTAACAAAAAAAATAGTAAATAATGCAGCTAAGAACATCAAAATACCGAATATCGGGAGGTACCGTTATATGGGGACTATACGAAGACGTGGACCTGCACAGACAATTTTTTGTCTTAGGCTGTAATATCCATTACGAACTTCAAAAACCAAATATGAAACAATTCCGGTGAATAATGTCGCTAAAATCATCAAAATCAATATCGGGAGGTTCTCCATATATGGGGGCTATATGAAGACGTGGACCTGCACAGACAATCTTATGTCATAGGTTGTAGCATCCAGTACGAATGTCAAATACTATGTTTGAGACAATTCCGGTTAATAATGTCTCAAAAACCATCAAATTACCGAATATCGGGATGTACCGTTATATGGGGGCAATACCAAAACGTGGACGTACATAGCCCATTTTCAATTCCAATAGTCCTGCAGATTTGAGTAAAATTTTATCAACCTACTTCAATTCGTTTGAAAGCTAGAGTGATTTCCACAGACAGACAGACAGACGGACGGACATCGCTAAATCGACATAGAATTTTATGGTGATCAAGAATATACTTACTTTGTGGGTCTAAAATGTATATTTCTAGGTTTTACAAATGAAATGCCAAACTTAATATACCCTCCATACTATGGTGTTTTGCAAACGAAATGCCAAGCTTAATATACCCTCCATACTATGGTGGAGGGTATAAAAATACAATTTTTGAATTCTTAGAAAAATTCCATAATTATTTCTTGATTCCGAAATTTTTCCCGGTCCCTGGAAAAAATATTAAAAAAATTCCCGACTTTTGTGCAGACCAGGGAAAACATATTGGAAATACATTTAAAAAAAAATCTGACTGTTTTGTGCAGACCTTAGAAAAACATTTAAAATAATCCACAAATATTTACAGCCCTTTGAAAAAATCAGACCAAAACCATAAAATATAGGAGATTACTTACATGGCTAATTGCGATCTTTATTACAATTTTTATGGGGCATCTTCAGTATGATTATTACGTATACAATTGTTTTCCAGGTAACTTATATCGCGTTTTATGGTTATGTTTAAAATGTTAAATATGTCCACGAACTCCAGTAATGATTGTCACAGAATTGTTGAAAATTGTATAAAATGCATGTTTTCAACAAAATTTTGAAATATATGTAAATAAATTTGACAACTGATATCAGAGTATAATAAGTATGTCTGCTTACTCGATATTTTGAAAAATTTTATTTGAAAGTTTACTCAAAAATTTCTAGTATTGGACAAGGCCTATGTAAGGTCGGCTAGGAAGCGAATTGGTAAAAATACAGCTATTTCTATTGAGTTTAATGTCAAATTTTTGTTTTTTTTTTTTCTAGGCGAAAAAATTCGCGGAGCTGGGCGGTAAATTCCGTATTTAAAAAATTTGAAAACAATCTTTGATTTGTATTTGTTATGAGAGAGATATATTGAAAATTGTGCCACTATCTGGTGGAGGTTCTTCATAGAGAAGGGCGATATGGTCATTTTCGCACCTGACCTAGCACTGATACTATTATTGGGATGTACAGATTTTCAAGATCCGATTTTGTTGTATTAGGAAAATCTAAGGAAGGAGTGGACCTTAACTTAAGTTCTTCATCAATATCTTCCAGTGGAAGTTCCATATGTTCTTAAGCTATGGGCAGCAGTATAAATCTCTTACCAGACTTCACCACATGACCAACGATGAAGTGTTGAGAGCAGAGAGAGAGAGAGAGAGAAGTATGTTTAAACTCTACCTGGCAAACATTACTCTATTCTGCCCTCAACGATTCATTCTTTGGAACCGAAATAAAGTATACCTTCCTGGAACCTCTTTCTTTCTGCATATTTTGCAAATTCTCATTTTTAAGTAAAAACCCGCACACTATTTATTCAGATTTCCTTTCAAAATCTTTTAATTATTTCTAAATTTTCTTGACATAAAAGTTACAAATTTGTTTTTGTATTTTTAGGGCGAATTGGGCGAATCAAACTATCAAAATCAAAATATATTTGACACAAAACTTGGTTATCAGATGGTCTTCCTGGGCGACCTTATGGGTTGCCCATATTCGACGGACACATCTGGCAACGCCATAACTTTTGACAGAGATGTCACATCGCTTAATGACATACCGCGTTTGAAGCGTCAGTCCAAGCTGATTTTTACCATGAACCAATACACGCCACGCGAGCGCTCTGAAATAGTTGAAATTTACATTCAACAGAAGAAGTCAATTGTGAAAACTCAACGTGCTTTTAAAACATTAAAAAATGTGAGAAGTACGCCTTCTAAGAACACCATTAAGCGTTTATACGAAAAATTTTTGACTGGTAAGGCTCTTTCTAATCCGAAGAGGCCATATAAAAGTCGACCAAGGCGATCGGCCGAGAATATCGCTGCCGTACGAGCCAGTGTTGAGAGGTCCCCAAGAACATCCAAAAAACACCGTTCTCAGCAGTTGGGCATGGCTCGGTCCATTTTACAACGGATTATTCGCATTGATTTGCATTTGTTCCCGTACAAAATTCAATTGACGCAAAGAATGTTGCCTGCGGACAAGCCTCGTCGATTGGAATGGGCCCAAAGGGCCCAAAAGTCCGTCGAATATGGGCAACCTTGTATAGGCCTTAGTATTGTGTTAATCCCGTACTTTTTTTTAGGGTAAAGCTAGTGAAAGAGAGATATGTTAAATTCACCCTAAGAGAACTCTTTTGTCCAGAAAGTACAGAGGCAGAAATTTCCTAAACATTTCAAAATTAAATGGCAATCATTCAAAATCGCAATTAAAAGTTTTTATGGGAGAATTCAATCATACAAGCTATGATTATTATAATTTTAATTTAAAGTTCAAAGGACTAAATATGCCGAAGCATTTGTATCTTTTAAATTCGGACTTGTATTGCCCATTTGGAGCACAATTAATTTGAATTCGGATAAAAATATATATGGTAGCTATATCCATATCGGCACCGATCTCTATAAAATTTGTCAAAGATATTTCTGAGCTGTATTTGATATATTTCCCTGAATATCGTTGTTACGGACTGCATATTACGGCTGTGGGTAACAAATACAAGAAATCTGATGAACAATATGTATGGGAGCTATAGCTATATCTGAACCGATCTTCACCAAATTTGGCATACTAGCTTCTAGACTCAATTCGGTCGTATGTGCCAAATTCCATCCCATTTGGACAAATATTAGACGTTTGGTGTACATTAAAAGGTAAATCGGACGAAGTTATACATGGGAGCTATATCCAAATCTGAACCGATCTCGATAAAATTTAGCACATGTATTTCTGAGATGTATTTGATATATTTCCCCAAATATTGTTGTTGCAGCGTGCATATTACGGCTGCGGAGGACAAAAATAACAAATCGGATGAACAATATATATGGTAGCTATAGCTTTATCTCAACCGATTTCGATCAAATTTGACATACTTATTTTCAGGCCTAATCTGGGTGTACATGCAAAATTCCATACAATTCGGGCTTATATTACACGTTTGATGCTCAATAGAAGGCAAATCGGACGAAGATATATATGGGAGCTATATCTAAATTTTGACCGATTATATCCAATTTCAATAGGGTTCGTCCTTCGCCAAACAAATGATATGTGCAAAATTTCATCTGGATCGGGCAATAAATGCGACCTGTACTTTGTTTACAAAAATACATGGACAGACGGACGGACATGCATAAATCGACTCAGAATGTGATTCTATGCAGATCATCAAAAGGAACTATGGGTCTATCTCGTTTCCTTTTGCCTGTTACAAACAAATGCACAAAGGCATAATACCCTGACCACCTTGTGGTGTAGGGTATAAAAACCTTCTCGGTACCCACATAGACATTCCAGGAATTACTGGAATTATGCATTCAATAATGCCCACCGATATTGTAAACAAAGCACTTTACCGCTTCCTTCTAATGCCATCTTATCTCCCATGGCATCAGAACTTCCTTTGTATTACAAAGCGCACCGCCATTATTGTTTATGAATATCTAAAGTTTCTTTTTTCAATAAACAAAAAATAACAACAACAACAGCAACAATGACAATCACGAAAAAATCTCAAGAATTCCCAAGTTTACAGAATTATGCAGGAAGCAGCAGAAGATCCGCTTTCTTGTTTGCCTTCGTTTGCATCAAAGTGAATTAATAAAAAACCATTGCTAACTGGTATGCGTGGGCTATGCTGGCCTCCAGTACCTCCACTACCTAACTCCATCTTCATCTTTCCATGGCAAGTTGCTGTGTTTTTGTCATTCATACAAATCTAATAAACTAAATTCCCCAGGAATGATGCGAACTAAGTGAATGCATGCCAGCCAGTGCAGGATGTTTAGGAAGAAGCTGCCTTTTCTTCTTCTTCTGCTGCTGCCGAACATCCCTTAAGGGTATTTCAATCATACACGCAGACAGCCATCCAACCAACCGACCGACCGACCATCCAACTAGCTAGCTATCTTTACATTCGCATTTTGGCAAGAAACAAAGGACATCTGATGTCAATTGCAGCCAACTGATGATACCGATATCATTGTCCGGGTCGTTTCATTGTTGCCCAGCCCCCCTCTCCGTTTGATGAAGTTGTAGATACTGGCGTTCTGACATACATGCATAAATATGTCCATACACATGTGCAAGGATATGAGTATGCCACGAGATTTCTGTTCAGTTTTTTTTTATCATATTCAGTTTTGAAGAGTTCCAATTTTTTTTGAGGACTAATGTTTGTGTGTGTGAGTTGGTCGTTTGTTCCTTGCATGATGCATCATGTCGCAACCACACAATCAATTGATAATATGCACCAAATATGCATAAGTAATATGCACATTATGCATATTATTACCGACCAGTCGAACTTACTGCCATATCCACATGCCACTGCGCTGATGTGAAGTAGAAGGTCGCTCGTATGAATGGACGTTAGGGTGAGGCAAAAAAAAAACTATGTAAATTAAATTTTATGCCATTTTTATACTCTCCACCTTGGGAAGGAGGGTAAATTAACTTCGTCATTCTGTTTGTAGCATCCCCAAATAATCATCGTAGACCCCTTAAAGTATATGTTCATAATCAGAATAACGTTCTAAGTTGATTTAACTGTGTCCGTCTGTCTGTTGAAATCACGATACAGCCCACATTATTTGACGTAGACCTTCACAAATTTGGCAGAACAATTTGTATTGTGTCTAGGATGGTTGGTATGGTATTCAAAATGAGATATATCGATCCAAGTTTTCGTATAAAGCCATATTACGGTACCTCGGTATTTTCAAAATTTTCGCCACATTTTTCCCACAGATTTGTCTAAAATTTTGTATATGTAGGTCATAATGGGTTCCAGTTTCACAGGCGGAACATAGACCCCATACAACGGTACCTCCCGATATTCGGTATTTTGATGATTTTTGCCACATTTTTCCGCGGATTTGTCTAACAATTGAAGTTTGTGGGTCATGATGGCTTCTTGCTCCGGTTGTATAGGTCCACGTTGTTGTATAGGCCCATATATAAGGTACCTCCCGATATCCGATACTTTGCTGATTTTTGCCACATTTCCCATGAATTTTTCTAAAACTTGGTATTTGTGGGTCAAAATGGGTTCCAGCTCGTATGGCGAAACATTATATACAGGTCCACATTTTGGTATAGCCCCCAAATAACGGTAACGGTGATAAAAAATTGTATTTGCAGTTCATAATGGGTTATAGCCCGGTGGCAGAACATTGAATATTTAGTTCCATGTTTTCCTAAAGCGCACATATAACTATACCATCGATATTCGGTATATTGACAATTCTAGTCACATTTTCCCACATAATTGGTTCAAATTCGGTATTTTAGAAGATTTGATACATGACAATCCTTGAAGTATAAAATTGCCTATAGAGGTTCAAATTTTGGTATGGTCCCATATAAAAGTCTCACTCATGCAAACGCTCTTACTGGTATAAGAAGTTTAAAGTGAAACATGCTTGAATTTAGATATCCTTACATAAATATGTTTCCTTTATACTAAGGTGAAAGTTCGGCCAGGCCGAACTTAATGTTTTTTACTTGTATAATATAGTGTAACATGGAGAATGAAGCGAGATTGACCCATACTTTTGAG